CCATGACAGCTCTATCTATCCATCCAGTCCATCCATCCATGCATCCATCCATCCAGCCATTGCATCCACCATCCCATTCCATCCGATATCAATCCCATCCATGCATCCATCATGATCGCATGCATCCATTGCCAATCCAGCATCCATCCATCCATCCATCTTGGCAGACCATCCATCCATCCTTTCCACGCACATCCATCCACGCCACCCAGTTTCGATCCATCCCAACCATCACATCCCTCCCTCCACCCATCCATCCATCCACCATCCATCCGTCCGCGGTTCCGTCCGTCCGTCCGTTCGTCCCATCCAATCCATCCATCCATTCATCCATCCATCATTCATTCATCCAGGCATCCATTCCATCCATGCATTTCATCCAATCCATCTATGCCGACCATCCATCCATATCATCGCATCTATTCCATCTGTCTATCTATTCTATCTATCCATTTATCCCATCCATTCCATTCATTCTATCCATTTCATCTAATCTATGCTTACACCTATTCCATCCAGGCATCCATGCATCCATCTATCCTTGCTCAGGTTGATCCATCCATCCTTACAGCCCATCCATCCAGTCCACTTCAATCCATCCATCCATCCATCCACCCACCATTCCACCCTCATCCATCCATCCAGTCCATCCGTCCATCCATCCGTCCCTATCCATCCCAGTCCTTGCAAGCAAATCCATCCCATCCTTGTCCAGCCATCCATCCATCCACAAGTCCATCCATCCATCCAATCCATCCATCCAATCCCCCATTCGCCCGGCCCGTCCCCGCGCGTCATCCCATCCATCCATCCATCCATCCATCCATCCATCCTTCCATACCATCCATCCCATCCATGCCATCGCATCCGTTCATCATCACATCCATCCATTCAATCTCATCTATCCATCCATATCATCCATCTATCCTCATCCACTATCCCATCCACTCCATCCATCCATCCATCGTCATCCATCCATCCATCCATCCAATCGCATGCCATCCATCCATCCTCCATCCATCCATTCCATGCGCCCGATCATCCATCCATCCATCACACTCCATCATCCATCCATTCAGTCCAATCCATCCATGCATTCCATCCATCCATCCTATTCAATCCACCATGCGCACCCATTCCACCATCCATCTTCAACAGCCATTCCATCCCGACCCCACCCAGGCTTTCATCCATCACATCTATCTATCTATCTATCTATCCATCCACTCCCCATCCATCCATCCAATCGCATCCATCATCATCCACTCCATCCATCCATTCCATCCAGTCTTCTTCATCCATTATTCATTTCATCCATCCATCGACCTCCGATCCATCACGTCCATCCCATCTCATCCACCCATACAATCCATCCATCCATCTCACACCCAGCCTTCCTCACTCCATCTATCCATCCACAATGCCATCATCCATCCATTCATTCACCACCATCCATCCATGCCAATCCATCTTCATCCATTCCATCGTACTCATCCATCCATCCATCCATCCATCCATCCATCCATCCATCCATAGATGCCATCATCCATCCATCCATCCATCCATCCATCCATCCCATTCATCCATTTATCATCCATCCATCATCCATCCATCCATCTCCTCCACCCCACCTACTTTATCCATCCCATCCATCCATCCAATTCATATCCATCCATCCATCCATCATCCATCCATCCATCCATCATCCATCCACCACTATCCACTCTCTCGTTCTCTCTTCTCTCTCTCTCTCTCTCCTCTCCTCTCTCTCTCTCTCTCTCTCTCTTCCTCTCTCTCTCTCTCTCTCTCTCTCTCTCTCTCTCTCTCTCTCTCTCTCTCTGTATGACTGTATCACTCTGTCGAGTTATTTATGGCCTTGTCCCTCTCTCTCTATTGCTCTCTTTCTTTCTCTCTTTCTCTCTCACGCCCCGTTTTAAAGATTTATCTACGCACACCCCTTCGTTTTATGCTCCACATGGAATTATATTTGTTATTGCTCTATAGACAAAGCAGTGGTGAAAGCACAGACAGTGATCTGGATTGACAATACGTAACCGGGAATGACATAGTTAGATATTTAGACACACAGAAACGGCAATTATTGTTGATATGACTGTTGATATTTTAACAGTTGTGATACACATGATATGAACAAAAGGTGTGGTCGTTCTCAAATATGTGAAAAACCAATTTCTGAATCATGACTATGGTTGTTTGCTTTCTGAAAGAATATGACCAAAAATTGAAATCAAAATCGACATAAATTCATTTTTCTGGAAATGAATCTTTTTGTAGTAGTTTGTTTTGTTAATATATCTGTTTGTTATTCTATTGCGGTCATTTTGATACCTCATTTGCTTTAATTTGATCAGAAAATAACGATTTATGATTTTGGTAAATTTCACTAATGGCGGCCATCTTGATTGACGTCATACCGGAAGTCGTCCCAACTTACGCAATGTTAACATTTATTTCGTGATCAAGGCATCAGGGCGCTCAGAAAAATATTGGTTCGGAGAGGTTTGTGGGGGGCGGGGGTGCACGCGTGGACCCTTCTAGGCTCCCGGAACTATTACAGACAGGGGGTAAACTGTCCGCCAACACGCTATATAGCATATAGCGAATGGCACTGAATGTCACTGAGTGTGGTCACAGCCAGAGTTTGTTTTTGCGCCCTCAGTGCGTTCTTTTACGTCCCGTTGGCCTTTCGTCATTAACTGGAGACGGACCGCCCATTTACAGTGGTCATCCGAGCACGCGGAAGATATCACAGCTCCAATGTTGAGAGCAGGTTTTACACCTGAGAAAAATTCACTGCCCCGGCCGGATTGAACTCAGCCTTCAGTGGACAGTATACGTGGGCCTAATCACTAAGCCACGAAAGCATCTCTTCAAATATTATATGTATAATTGGCATAATTGTATTAAAATAAAATACTACATTGCCCCTATCATTATAACGACAAATTATAGTAAAATGACCAACAGTTAACGTGTTCTAATATATATTCTTGCTGTCATTCAATTATATGCATGAACAGTTTTTGCCATATCTCTACAATATGTGTTAACATGGAACAACTGCTCTCGGAAGAATCATTTTCTTGAAGTACATCGCAGTCATCTGTGCTGACCTTTAAGGAGTGTTCTCTACCTGCAAGTTAATTATATAAGGAATTACATAAGTATATACTGCATATTACGGGAATAATATTTAAACAAGTGCCGCAGAGCGACAGCGCTCATCTCACGTACCACTGCGGTGACTTTGTGGTGCAGTGGTGGGATTCTAGTAAACCCTGTTCAGTCCCAAATGTGTTCACATACGCACCGAAACAGTGGAAGCCATAGGGATGGTATCAGGAACCTATTTCTGACAGGAATGTTCGTTGAGAATCTTTATGAAAGTTGCACGAGATGGCCGTGTACGTTTAAGTGTCTTAAGATTAAAGATGGAAAAGCTCCATCGTACGTAGATAGCAACAACATATTGCAAAACAGAATAGAGTAAGCACTCATCCATTTACCTACGCAAGCCCGCACGTGAAATAGAGAGCTGCCACACCTGTAACTAATTAACGCAGGCAAAAACTACACAGTACTATCACCACCACACGACACTTGGCACGTGGCCATAAGTTACATGTAACACACTGACAGTACAGAATGGCCATAGAAATTATACACATTTAAGGAGCATAAACCTTCTTCAACCAAATTTAGCTTTTGAAATTTCACGTGACATTGTAGCCGCATACATCCAGGCATGTATAGATTCTACTAGCAAACCCGCAGTCAAATTCTTTCTAACAGTAAACAAATCCCATGTTTAACCCTCCTCTTGAGCGGTCAAAAGGTTATCCAGACACTTACTCTTCGCATGTCAGGCGAAAGTACATTTCATGCGTCCTTTCAATAAAGCCATAAAAATGCTTAGTCACGCTGAAACAAAAAAGTTTTTCAATCGCTCCGTCCGACCATGTCCTCAGAAAATGTCTCAAATCTGCCCTGTGCCCCATTGACCTTTAGCCTGTGACCTCCAATTTTGGCACAGCGATGGCTTTTTCACCATGATGCTATACACCGACTATCACGAGCCTAGGTCGAGCCGTTTAGATTTGTGCCGCAATTCTGCATTTCTTCCCTATACCTTAAGTTAAGGAGGGAATGTTCCCCCTTATTTTACACCTCTTGACCTTTGACCCACAGCTTCGACATCCCAACTCGTTTTCGGATTACCCCTCCCCCCCACCCCCACATCCCGAATATCGTGACCGTACGTCGAGCCGTTTAGATTTGTGCTGTTGACTCCAACTGTTGACGGACGGACGCACGGATGGACGCACGGACAATCATGCGATTCTACAAGTTGCATCTGACTATGTCAGATGAGCTAAAAAGTGAATGTGCCCCAGTTCCAAAGTTGTGGTGATAAGCACAGAGCTATCGGTGAGCCGCGTCGAGGTACGGTCATGTACACTAAGCCATCAATGATCCCTTCTAAACTTTTGATGGTATGTCCAAAGCCATCGATGAGCCATTGCAATGATTTCGGAGATGTGTCCTAAGCCATCAATGACCCAAGCTTTCACCATTAGCCATAATCTGTTCAGCAGCTGGGATGCAGAAGACCACTCTAGACCAACATTGAAGCCACTCCATGAAAGGAGGAAGGAACTTAAGGAATGATCTGAGACAGCAAAAGAAGCCAAATATAGCCTGTATACAAGTTGCATTTATTTTAAATGACTATCTATATCTAGGGGTAACAGCTGTCCCTCCCCTCCCTCCTCCTGGAATGTAGCCCTCTAAACGCCACATTAGGTCATAACAAGAAAAATATGATGAACACTGACGAATTAATCACACTCATTTCATCATACATTCGAGGTTTTACTTTTATTATTTTATTATTTTACTAAGCACTAATACTGGCAAGAAGATATTACTGACACGCACATGTTGACTTGAAGAAAAGAAAACAGGTTATTCAATGTTACCTCTAACTTTTACTGTGGTAGGAAAAATGCTCTTCAGATCATAGGTCATGATCACTTCGGCCATGTCTTTTCCACAACAACCACAGTCAAGCTCTGTCCCACAATCCAAATGGAATCTAAAATAACATTAAAAGCAATTATATAGCATTCTAAAAACATAGATCTCAGGATGACTAAACGAAATAAATTATTAAATGAAATGTGTGCAGTTTTGTATACTAACACAGGAAATCTTTTATACATAAACGGCTAAATTCATTTTATTAAAATAATTTGTCTGCCACATTATTATAGCAACTGTATTACAGTATATTATTTGATTTCAGTATGTGTGGCAGACAATTTCACCTTACCTAACAAAGTCAAATGATTGAGATGTCTGCAGGCTTTCCTTTACTAGCTTTACATTATCCTGAAGTTAAATACAATAACTCATTAAACTAGAAAGGGCAGTTGTCACCAACTACATGTATCCCCCGTGTTCTCTCCAAGATGTGTATGTATACGAAGTTTGGTCGCGCTAGGTCAATTAGGGGCCGAGTTATAGAGTGGAAGGGAAATATGATGAAGGTCAAGGTCAAATAAAGGTTGCAGGATAGACCTGGGCGTTTGCGGTACGCGACACACTGGTGCTGGCCCAAGGGAGTGTGTAATGTTTAGTACCAAGTTTGGTCAAGCGCGATAGGGCTTAGGGGCGCGGGAGTGTAGGTGAGAGTGGGGTGTGGAGGAGGAGGATATGGTGCAAGGGTCAGAGTGGTCACTAAAGAGGGCGCGAGGTGAGCGGTTGGTGGGGTGTGGGTTACGCGACACACCATTCTCGACCAGAGATGTGTAAGTATTACGATAAGTTTGGGTAGCCGCTAAGCGTCGATTAATGGCGGCGAGTTATTAGATGGGAAGGGGGGAGAGGGGGGAAATATGATCATGGGGTCTAGGTAAAGGTCAAATGAAAGGTTGCGTGGGGGGGTAGCCTGGCCGTTTTGGACCGCGACACACGCTTCGTCCCCAAGATGGTTTTTGGGGGGTATGAGCGGAGGGGTTGGTGGGGGTTTAGTGCTAGTCATTAGAGGTGTGAGGGGGGGCTTGAGTTAATGTTAGAGCGGAAGGAAATACTGAATGATCAAGGTCAACATAAAGGTAGTTAGTGACCTGGTTTGGTAGCGCTAGGGTCAGATTAGGGGGGGGCGAGTGTAGGGGGAGCGTGTGGGTGTGAATATGGATCGGGGAGAGGTAAATTGAGGAGGTTCGTGCGGGAGGGTGACTGGTGTGTGTACTGCTGGCTACCTTGGTGCGCGCGGGAAGATGTTGTGATGAGGTAGTACAAGTTTACGGGGTAGCGCTAGGTCATGATTAGGGGATTGGAAGTTAGAGAGGCGGAAAGGGAAATGGATTGATATAAGGTAAAGGGTCAGCAACTTGAAACGGTCGCGAGTGAGCCTGGTTTTGGTTCGCTGATCTCACCTTTCTCCCAGTGGTAAGTATGACCAAAGTTGAAAGGGTAGCCGCATAGGCATTAGAGGGCAAAGTTATGAGTGGAAGGGAAAATATGATCAAGGTCAACGGAAAGGTCAAAATAAAGGTCATAGTGACGGGTGGTTTTGGACGGAACACACCTTCTCCCCAAGATGCTGTACAGCTATTACCAGTTATGTTATGTGCTAGGTCAATTAGGGGGCGAGTTTAGAGCGCGGAAAGGTAAATACTCGCATCTACGGTCAAGGTAAATGGTCAATAAAGGTCGGTAGGTGACCTTATGGTGTTTGGTAGCGCATAGGCTCAATTAAGGGGGGCCCGGGAGTGGTAGAGAGCGGAAAGGCGAAATAGGTTCAAGGTGCAATGAAGGTCGCCAGTGGACCTGGGTTTTAGGTACGCGTGACTCACCTTATCCCCAAAGATGTGTAATAGTATACCATGTCTTGGTCAGCGCGTAGTTAGGTCGATTAGGGGCCGAGTTTGATAGAGACGGAGGAGGAAATTGGATCGATGTCGAGTACACGCGATCAGAATAAAGGGCTGCGTGAGTGAGCGCTGGCGCCGTGTTTTGGTACGCCTTAAGAGTGTGTAAGTATACCAAGTTTGGGTAGTGCCTAGCGTCAATTAAGGGCAGGTTATAGAGCGGAAAGGAAAAGTATTGATCAGGTCAAGGTAAAGGTCAAATAAAGGTACGTGAGTGACTGGGTTTTGGTACGTGGCTCACCTTCTCCCCAAGATGTGTAAGTATACTCAGCTTGGTAGCGCGTAGGCGTCAATTTAGGGGTGAGTTTAGAGAGCAGAAGGAGAAATATGATCAAGATCAGGTTAAAGGTCATAATAAAGTCGCAGTGACTAGTTTCTGGTACTGCTGTACACCTTCTTCCCAAGGATGTGCAAGATATACCAGTGTTGTAGACGCATAGGTCGTTAGGGCCGGATTAGAGAGCGGAGGGAAATATGATCAGGGTCAAGGTAGGTCAAATAAAGGTCGCAGTGACCTGGTTTTGGTACTCTGCACACCTTCTCCCCAAGATGTGTAAGTATACCAAGTTTGGTCACGCTAGGTCAATTAGGGGTCGAGTTATAGAGCTGAAGGGAAATTCTCTGCGGCGGACCGAGCGGCGGCAGCTGGGGAGACATGAAACCATAGTATCACCGCTGACTCGCCGTCGCGGGGGATACAATAAGTTCATTCGGTTGGTAGACTAATAGATATAACAGGGCTAATTGTTACTCAACCGTGAAGATTGGAAACGTACCGCTTACGTTTCGCCTCCTGCCAAGAGGCTTTCTCAAAGCTAACTGATGATTATCAGTTTTGACCACCAGATGGTGTGGTGGTCAATAGCTTAGTCCACACGTGACTAAGCCTGTATAAGAACGCACTAGGAAAATGCGGCTACCCCAATTGGACACTCAAAAAAGTTTCCAAGGAGATGAACACATCACGGGAAAAAACAACATTCCATAAGAAAACCTCCACGGAGAAACCGAAGGCGATGATTGTCCTACCCTATTTCAGAGGCGTCACGGACGTAGTTCAACGTCACCTAAAAAATGCAGGTGTGGCTTCAACAGTTAGACCGTTGAGACCCTAAAAAGCTTTTGGTACACCCTAAGGACAAAACAGATATGCACAACATTACGGACTGTATCTACAAGATACCGTGTGCAATGTGTGAAAAAAGTTACATTGGAGAAACCGGCCAAAAATTTGAAACCCGCCTTAAAGAACACAAAAAGGACATAGACACCTTAGCACCCATGCTCCCCAGCACCGAAATGACCAAATCCGCGATCACTGACCACGTAGCGAAGGACAATCACACCATCGATTGGGAGAATTCGAAGATCATCGATCGCGAGCCAATCAAAATCAGGCATTGGATTAAGGAGGCCATCTGGATCCGCAAGACCCTGAACATCAACCGGGACGAGGGGGGATACAGGCCTAGTCACGTGTGGACTAAGCTATTGCCCACCACACCATCTGGTGGTCAAAACTGATCATCATCAGTTAGCTTTGAGAAAGCCTCCTGGCAGGAGACGAAACGTAAGCGGTACGTTTCCAATCTTCACGGTTGAGTAACAATTAACCCGTTTATATTTAAATACAATAGTCAAAGTCACAGCCAATGTAACAAAATCATCATCTCAATATGACATGCGCTTATTATCTTAACAACCACTGCACCATAAGAGAGCTCGTAATACTGGCTGCTGCAGCTGCAACTGCCAATACTACTATGACTAGTATGTTATGCCATTTTTCTTGCTAGAAAGCAAGAACAATTGGTATGGTCATTAAGAGTTACATACCCTTAAAGGTAGTAGGTATATTCAATTATGAAATTCATACAAAAGATGGAAAACATATATTTTCAGATAAAGGTTTGTTATCACTACATGGCTCTACACCCTAGATGCTGGGCTTTTTCTTACATTTTTTTCAACATAAAATGAGTGGAACTTGTCATCACACTGTTGTATCTCAAATTTTAATAGAAAGGACATATTTTGTAAACTTTTCATAACGTGATAAATTTAGACTTTAACGTTTTTTTTGAATATGAACACTATTAGTACATTCATTCTAGATATATCATGGAAGAAACAAATTTGTGGTTTCTCAGGTTTTTTGTCGTTTTTGTTTCTTGACGATCTGCAGCCCGGATATACGCGCGAAGCGCGAACAGCGCCGCCTCGCGGCGCCTTTTGATCGAATTCGCTGCCCTCTATGTATCACTATATACGCAAGGCCCTCTGGGTAGTACATAAAGCCGCATAATCGGTCAATTGAGGAGTTGTGGCGATTGCAGAAGCCTTTCGACTCTGCACGTAGGGCGAGAATAAATCCAAATGCTCGTAATTGCAAGTTTTTTGGTCGGCGCTTTAGGTTTTCCTCTAGAAAAGCGATTTTCAATTTCTTGCATTTTACGCCCTGAACTTATTCTCGTACATATGGCGTCCCATAGATGGCGCGACGAGGCTCTCTTCGAGGGATTTTCCAGAGAATTTTCCACACAAGGAACGGCGAATAGGCTTAGACTGCCCCGCGGTGGAGAGTTCGACACGCTGCACTAACTATAACTTTAGTGTAGCGAAAGATACTTGGCCGAGTACCAGTCTAGCTGGAATCGTGACGTCGGAGTGTAATTCTCGTAGCCATCTTAGGACACCGCAGGCCTCACTGATTGATGGTTGTTTAGACTGAGAATTCGCACTAGACGTTATGTGGAAAAACAGCAGCAGCCGCGCTCCCCGCGCTCTTGACCCCGCGCTGCCCGTGGCGACGGCACGTCGTGCGAGCACGTGCTGGCGTGGCCGTGGCAGTTTTTTACACGTAGCTAATCCTACAACACGCCGCCACACTGACCACACAAAATATATATATGCACATGTTTTTTACGAAGACGAGCAGAGCGGCACATTCCAGACCTCCTCCTCCCCCGCGCTCAGTGGAGCTGGCTCGGGGAGTTTTTGCGCCGCCGTGACTTTTCGTAGTAAATAGATTTGGTATTTATTTAGACTTACATTTTATTATGAACGCTGCAAGTACAGTGCAGTGCTGTGTGTTGGCTGCCGGCAGCATTGATGCATGTATATAGATACCTTATTAACCTCGCATGGGGCAGGCCGGCGCGGATGCGCCGGAGAGGAAGAGACAGACTTTGTGGGAGTCGGAGAAAGGAAAGATTGTGGGAGAACGTCCAGATGGTACGAAAATCCGCGGCAGGTGACGGTCTTACGACGGCCGAGGTGTACAAAGCGCGTGTCAATCCTAATCGGGAAAGCCCCCCTCCAAAGCCCGATGTAGCCGAGCCGATGTACGTGTCCCGAAAACTGCGTTATGTTTAGGCTGCCCCGCTATACGCATTGCGCGCGCCGCTCCTTCGGCGCCGCGAACATGCGTATAGCGGGAGCTATAGCTATACATCC